ATAATAATATATCACACACACACTATATATATATATATATATATATATATGTATATATATATATATATATATATATGTATATATATATATTTATGTCTATATACATCAACATGTGAGTTTATATATATATGTATATATATATGAACCTATAAGAATATAGATATAGATATACATGCATATATATATATATATATATATATATATATATATATATATATATATATATATATATATATATACATATATATATATATATATATATATATATATATATATATAAATATATATTTTATAAATGTATATTTATATAAATATTATACATATAAATATATTGACATGTACTCATCGAATAAACAATCTATCACACACCTGCCCGTCGCACTCATTACAGGGTCCCTGGAACTGCTGCATCATGCCTGGTGCTATTTGCTGCACATGCATGCGTATTCCCCGACCTCTACATGCTGAACATTGTCGGGCGTCCTTGCCTCCTTTTCCATCGCAACCCTTGCAGATAACATTTTTCCTCATCATCAGCTTTTTAGTCGTACCTATGCAGCGAGATTGATTGCAATAATCGGTTTGTTAAAATGTAGAAGCATGCAGATCCGATTGTTCCATATGATGGATGCCAATTGCAGATTACACTTTTTATCATCAGCTTCTTAGTAGAATGTAGTCGATGCAGTACTATAATCGGCTTGTAAGTATCTAGTTGTATATGATTCATATTCTTTTGTATAACGCACTTGTGTATTGATATTACAGTACACATTCTTCCTCGTCATCAGCTCCTTAGTAGTAACTAAGTAGTGCGATGCACTACTATAACCGCTTTCTAAATATGCAGTAATATGTTATTCATCCTTTGTATGTAGTACTGGTGTATTGGTATTTAAGTACTAATTGGCTTTTTTTTCTATTGGTTGCTTAGAAGTACTTATACAGCAAGGTCTACTGTGAAAGACAGTACATATTTGCCCTTAATATCGGTTATTCGATAGTACTCATACAGTATGGTTGATTGTGATAGTTTTCCTATGTATGTGGAAGTATTAGATTTTTATTGGTACCTGTGAGTTAGGCTATATTACGATAATCGTTTACCAAGTAAGTGGTAGAAAACTTGTCGGTTTGTTCTTTATGTAGCACGCTAATGATAATACAGGTGACTGAGAAAGTAAACGACTACAGATCACATTCTGCCTCATCATCAGCTACTTATCTGGCCCTACTTAGTGAGATACGATACAACACTTCGGCTTGATACAAACAACCTGACCTACGAAATAAAATCGCTAGTAACGACGATCAAAACTATGATTCAAATTATTTACCTAGATATACAGGA